TTTTCTGACTGCGATGCTTTTCGCGATGACTTTTTAATCCTTCAGTATCCACTCAGCGACAAAGACAAGCAAAGGTTTGAGTGGACGCCTGTCACTCACGTCTGTTTTCTGACACTAGCTTAATCTTATCTGTCACTGGCCTTCTGTGTGCTACAAATCCTGGCTTTCACTGTCTCGGTACTTTGGCGTCCTACTGCTCTGCAAGACCGGTGTCATTCGGTCCACATTTATAGTGATATAGTGTTAATTTTAAAACTATGTCAACTCAGTGACCATAATTTTCACATTTTCGTACAGTAGACGGAGTCGAAGCATAGTCAGGTAATCATGTGGCATGTAGAGACAGCAAATAAACAAATATGCGCATCAGCTAGGGTATGTACATTCATTTCACTCAGACTTGGCGGGTTGTGTGTGCGTGTGGAGTAATTAAACTTTCCAAACTCAGATCACTCTCTCTCTCAGCTTCCCTTCCCTCCATACTTGCAGTATTTGATGAATCGGAAATCAAATAAAATCAGCAAATGAAAGCAAACATCCTATCTTAATAATTTGAGGCAGTTACAGCTTCAGTTACAGCTTAAGCACATGTCCAAGAATCAGCGCTACCTTATTTCCCCTAATCCTGCATCAAAATCACATCCCTGTTAAGAATTGACCAACAAAGTAGCAATTCACCAGCAGTAGGCCTGTTAAAAACCACGGCTTCTGTCAATGCCCTCTGACAAGTAGGCTAAAATTATTCAAAAATCAGGATACAAAAAATTCTAACCAGATTATTATGGTCAGGACATCATGCAAAAGCAGTAAAATTGATTTTGATATTTAATGAGCTTAAAATGCCCACAAAGATACTTAACAGTTGAATGCGGTTCTTGTTTGCTAACAGACCTGCCTTTATTTAAGCCATTTTTGCGAGTTTGTACGTTTTCTACTAATAAACATTTTCGTTTGTTCGTCTAGCAATAATAGTTGAGTCACTTGAGGGAAAAAGGAAGGGAGGAGTAAAACATTTGGACTTTTAGCTTAATAGTAGTTCTAAATAGGAAAGTAAATTTATGCTATCAGCTTGTGGAAAATAATAAGGCGCTTCATTGTTGGCAGTTGGTAACTAAAAATTAAATCGGGAATGATATTGAAGCCGCGCACATTGCATTAGAAAAGCTGTGCTGAATTTTAATCATAACTGTCCATCCATACCAGGAAACGCACTTTCTATCCTCTTTACCAACAGAAAATAGTAAAGACAGGGCTAATCTTTGGACATTCCCGAACTTCTTGCCTCTTACCTCTTAGCTACATAAAAGCTGGTCGAAAACTCAAATTCGACCACTTGGTAGCAGCGTTGCGCATTGGTAGCACATATTTTAACCCAAGTAGTTTCTCCATGTTTGCTACAGCTAGTCACAGGCAATTCCTTTTCTCCCACTAGTGTTGTTTGTCTAAGTTGCTCCTACCCAATTTTTTGTTTGAATAGAGGGCCTGAAAATGCACAATGCTGGTAACTGTTTTGTCTGCTGATCTGCAACGCAGGGGTGTCAAGGAAAATTCCATACCTCTTTATAAGCGCTGGAAGCACTGTGGAGCCGATGGTGTTGTGTAGTTCGATGCAATAGAATATAGTAAGGAGAAGAGAGATGCAAATAAATTTATTTTCTCCTAGAGCTGTTATGGCATGAAGTGTGTTTAGGTCTGCCGCGCAACAGTACCTCAAATTATACCAAGTACGCAAACAGTTTGTAAAGTGTCTCAGTGTCATCGAAGTTATGAATAATAAAGACGCTTATGATAGCCAAACTAAATCCTGGCTTGACAAGAGTTTGGTGTACGGATAGATAGAGGAGCGGGGATGAGAATTGAGAGTCAAAGTGAGGTGTCATAACCGCAGGCCAATTTTAAACACATGCATATTGGAGGGTAAATAGATGTTTGATAGATTGAAGGGTATGCGATAGGTGGAAGGACAGACGGACGGTTGGATGGAGGGTTGGATGGAAGGGACGACTGGACGAATGTTAAGTTGACGAGCATGTGATGGGTTTGGAACATTTCTCCCCCTGGTAGGAGCAGAAGGCAACTTGTGAGTATTTCTTCTCCTGTTGCATCTTTGTTTTTACTTCCCGCATTTGGAAAGCAGAATTTGGAGGACACCCATTCCTAAGAGACATTGCGGTGTGCTGAAATCATGCTACCCTATCATGAGACGGAATCGAGACGG